TCCTTCGATAAAAACAAGATGCGGGGAAGGACATTTTTGCGTGCAATCGTCGCAGAATCGACAAGTCTGTTTGAGGACCTGCCAAAAGAAGCATTTTCAACTTGTTTTGACAAATGGTTTCAAAGAATGAATAAGGGTGGATTTTTGAACAAAGCATTATCCGATAATGCTGCTTTATTTCAGAGAAAATGCATGATTAATCCGGTAAATAAAGCAGCATTATCGGATAGTTCTCTGTTCAAAAATCCACCCTAAGTGTATTAGTGTTGGAAAAGTCTACTTTGGAAAACAATAAATAAGATTCAAAAAATTTTTTCTTTAACTAAAAACTTTCAGAACAGCCCTCGTATTTATGATCGGGTTCGTTTTTCACCGGACTGCAAGTATAATAGCGTGCATACCGATTTCCTCGACCCAGGGCCGCCCAGAGGTTTCCAGGGGTCCGGGACAGATTGCCCCCTTTGCCCCCCCCCTTTGGGTGGCCCTACCTCAACCCGATAGACGGCATTCTTGACCCGTTCTTGATTCCCCGTCGAACCTTGCATTCCAGTCGAGATGGTGTCGGACCACTCGTCCCAGACGGTCCGGGTCCGCCAGCTCGGCCCGAACCCCAGCGCGATGAACGGTGAGGAATTGCAGCGAGGGGAGGCGAGGACGGTCGGGCCCGGCAGCGTCTTCGAGTTCCTCCCCGGCCGGTTCCCCCACCGCCTGGAGTTCGAGGGGAGGAAGAGGAAGCAGGACGACTCTCCCGAGTCGCTTAAGAGGGGGAAGCAAGACGCTCGGTCCCCGGAGTCGCTTAAGAGGGGGAAGCAGGACGCTCGGTCCCCGGAGTCGCTTAAGAGGGATAAGCAAGACGACTCCACCGAGTCGGTTAAGAGAGGGAAGCAAGACGCTCTGTCCCTGTTCTCTCGGGTGGGTTCGACCGGTTCGTGGAAGGATGAGGAGGGTGGGGCGCTGATGGTCTACACTCCTCCGAACATTCAGCATTCCGAAAAGGTAAGGGAAATTCTCCCTTCGTTTATCCCGCGTTTCCTGCCTCGGACGTCACCCATTTCATTAGTGTCAGTCGGATCGTTGTAAGCAACGACGAAGTACCAATTTCTGCTGGCGTCTGCATGCTACAATAACGCAGTGTGTGATATCCACGATCGACAATTGTCGTTACTTAATAATTACATTACGTTACAATTGTTACTTAATTAACATCCGAACTCTTCCGATAACATTCCTTTTTTTTTGCACGGTTGCGTTTTAGTAAAAAATCGAACACGTCGATCGCGTGTGGAGGTTTTACGATGAGGTTTTTGGGGTCTCCCGGACAGATAGCAGCCTACGACATCGACGGAACGATCATCGCGACGAAATCGGGCCGGGTGTTCGCCACCGACCGCAACGACTGGCGGATCCTCTACGCCGAGATCCCCGGGAAGCTGAAGGAGCTCGCCTCTCGAGGCTACAAGCTGGCGTTCCTCACGAACCAGCTGGGCGTGGCGAAGGGGAAGGTCGGGAGGGAGGAGCTGAGGGGGAAGGTGGAGGCGGTGGTGGGTCGACTGGGGGTCCCGGTCCAGGCGCTGGTGTCCACGGGGAAGGGACGATTCAGGAAGCCGGCGACGGGGATGTGGGAGTATCTCGAGGAGAGGGTGAGTCCGTCCCTCCGATCGCGAGAACGAAGCGATGGGCATGCGTCGCGAGCCGGTCGGTCGCCCGGGGAGGCGTTTACGAGCAGACGCTGATCGTTTTCGAGTCGAGAAGCGACGTCGCAGATCGAAATCTGTGAGGCATCCCTCCGTGGGACCTCGGGAGCGTTTCGCGTTTTCAGATGGATTCTCCGTTCCCGACCAGGGAAACGGCGGCATCGTGGTCGACCGAGGGAAATCCTTCTACTGCGGGGACGCAGCCGGTCGACCGGCCGACTGGGAGCCGAAGAGGAAAAAGGACTTCTCGGCCAGCGACCGGCTCTTCGCCGCCAATCTGGGCCTACCGTTCTGCACGCCGGAGGAGCATTTCCTCGGGAGGAAGCCGGCGCCGTTCGACCCGCCGGAGTTCGACCCGAAGGCGGCTCTGGAGTCGCAGGGCCCGCTTCTGGATCCGCCCGATGCCTTGTCGGGGACCGGCACCGAAGTCAGTTTCTTCTCCGGCTCTGCGATTTAAATGATAATAATATTCTTTGTACTTCGTACTTGGCTTTCAAAACATTTTGGCAGGTTCGCTCTCGCTGCCAGAATGAGATTATGATTTACTTGCGCAAAAATGAAGACAGTGCTAGCGATTTCGAGTCCCACCTCAGCATTCCCTGTCGTTTCTAAGTGGTCACTCTTGCATCCTTTTGCATCCAAAAATTCAATCCTAGAGGCAGCTAAAAGAAACGGAGTGACTCACGCGTGCTTTCGAACGCAGGTGATCGTATTAGTGGGATGCCCAGGCTCGGGCAAGAGCCACTTCGCTACGCACCACCTGGAGCCCAAAGGCTACGTCCACGCGAACCGCGACACCCTGGGCACCTGGCAGAAATGCGTCAGCGCCCTGGAGAAGAGCCTCGCGAGAGGGAAGAGCGCGGTCGTGGACAACACCAACCCCGACGCGGCGTCGAGGGCGCGGTACGTGGATGCGGCGAGGAGGGCGGGGGTCCCCGTGCGGTGCTTCGTCCTCTCCACGAAGCCGCAGCAGTGCAAGCATAATAACAGGGTGAGGATCGTGCTCGGTCTCGAATCCTTTCGGTTTCCCGTATTCGTTTAGACGGGAGGATTTTAACGAAGGAAGTCGGTCTCAGACTAAGAAAACTGCCGTCTGTACGTAATTGCTGTGGCTCGATATGCGACGGGGTTAAAATGCTTCAGTGGTTTTATTTTCGAGCATTAATACCGAGTAATGCTCACCCATGGTGCATCAACTTCAAGGCGTTTTCTTGCCAACGAGGAACCTACTCCCACACACTTGCTGCTGGTAAGAACTCAGCTGATATAGACATCGGGTAGTGTAGTGCTTCCATTGCTGAAAATTTTCATTCATGGTATTGGCTCGTGGTAATCCCTATGCGGGACCGAGTCAGTCTTCTGAGGAACACCAAAAGAAGGTTAAAAGGTTCAAGAATTTTTTTTTTTTGAGCAGGACCACATGGCAATGAGTAAAGACCAACGCGAACTGGAAGTAACTGCTGCAATGGAATGTGTTAATTTGTATGCGAAAGTAAACGATATTCCTTTCGCAGTTCAGGGAGTTGGTGGACGACTCCCATGAACACGTGAATCAGATGGTCTTCAACATGTACAAGTAAGTGGCCATTCACCTCATGTATTGTTGCATCATTTTGCAGCCGTCATAATTGGGTGGATTCGATCGACCCTTTCAGATCGAAGTACGAAGAACCGAGCCTCTCGGAAGGTTTCTCGCAGATCGTCCGAGTGAATTTCCAGCCCAGATTTGACAGGGAGGAGGATAAGAAGCTGTATGGGATGCATCTGCTGTGAAGACAAATTGTCTGATGCTTTTTACTTTTGCGGTATCAATAACAGGGAGTTCAGGGAGACATTTACTTTTTTTTTTGTCTAAGATGAATATGCATTCTACAGGCAGACTACTCCATGTCCTGTCAGAAAAATTCTGGCTTGATGATCTTCTTGTATTTGAACCTTGGGCCACATATTGATAATGTATTTTGCAATTCTTGCTATGGTTTGCAACACAAGTGTGATAATACAATTTACTTTCATCAACATCTGTCATACAATGCACTTGGACAAAAAATAAATGTAGAAGTATCAGAAATAGCAACAGCACTATTATAATACACGTGGAACGGCTAACAGCATGGGCATCGTCATCTGAGAGAAATAAAAAATGCTCCAAAATGGCACTGACTCCAGGAGTCAATCTCCACACAATTCATCATAGTTGAAGCACAAGCAATCAGGAAATCTAAATTGGCATTCTATATTTTGATAACATTTCATTATTTCCAATGTGCATGTAGATACCAAGCAGTCCATCAATGGAAATGTGGATTATTGCTGAGGCTGCATTCCCCAAGGTGAATTCTGGTATGGAGGATAAGTGGGTGGCTGCTGCTGCTGCTGTTGCTGTTGAGGTGCTCCATATGGGTATGCTGGATTGTACCCTGCAAATGACAAAACTTTTTTCAATCTTTTGGAGGCATCAAGAACTTAATTAAGGAACTCAGTCACACCGGCTGGAGGAGCATATGGATTGTAGCCTTGAGACATGGGAACATAAGCTGGGTATGGCTGTGCACCGTAGGGCAGAGGCATCCCTTGAGGATTGACAGGATAAGGAAGTGCAGTATTGGCAGCAGGTGCTTGTTGCTGAGGATAAGCAGGCTGTTGAGGATAGCCGGCTTGTGCCTGTGGTGGTGGTTGCTGTGCATATGGGACCTGATACGGTGGATACGCCTGTGCGGGTGCTTGCATCGGTACGGGTGGAGGTGGCCGTGGTGGTGCAGAACCAGACTCACCTGAGACAATATTAAAGTACAAAAACTTGAAGCTTCACATCTCAACTATAAATTAGCCTCAGTTTCCAAAAAAGGCACTCAAATGCATGGAAGTTAACCACAAGCAAAACAAATAGTTTCCTTCTCATTTGCTGAAGCTTTATTTCATTTTTGAAAGGTGTATAAAAATACACCTTTCAAAAATGAAAAAAAAAAAACACCTTGTCAATTATGCATCTACATTATGCAACCTCCCAAGTGTCCTCTACCTATAAGCACCAGTACTTAGAAGTTCCCAAGGAGAAAAAATTAGAAAATCAACTGACTTGCTTTTTCAAGAGCAATGTTTACTCCACTGTGAGCATACAAGGCCAATGAAGGAGTGGATAGAGTTGCAATACCCTGATGATGCTGAGGTGGTTTGGGTGCATCATTCATCTTCATCGAGGCCAAGCTTGATGTTAGGTCCTTGAGAAGTTCATCCTTTTCAGTCTTGCGGGCAAAGCAGTAGTCAGAGACCTTGTTCTGGAAATTCACAAGCAACTACAAGGAATGGAAAGAAAAATTCCATCAGCTAAATGTCCAAAGTGAACAGTTTTCCTGATGTTGATGTCACATCTATGGGTGCACCTGTGTGAGGTCATTGTAAAACTTGGTGCCCTCTTGAATATGGTTCATGAGTTCATTGAAGGCATCATGAGCAGCTGCAATTTCTTTCAACCAATCCTCTCTCTCAGAACTGTGGGAGCCTTTTCCACGGCTGAACTCCCCGTGTGCTCTCTGGAATGACCATGAAGTGTATAAAGTTTTCAAGACAAGTATGATTCAATGCTAACATCAGCCAAAAAAAAAAAAAAACAACAGGAAAAAACCTGTATGTCTGCAATGAGTGTCTCCTGTCGCTGCATGGAGTCTGTCAACTGTTTTTGAAGGGGGCCATAGACACGCCCAAGTGTCTCTGTGCTGATTCCAGGCTCATTAATGCTTCCCTCCTTTGCAAGCACAGACAAGAATACACTCTTCATGTCTCCTTCAGCTGACTTGATCTCAGACTCCAACACGTCTCGTTCATTACGGATGGCATCAACCTGCAAAAGGTGGCATTATTACTTCCAAGTACTCAGGGATTACAAGAGCAACAAGGAATATCAGACCATATTCATGAGCTGTCGAAGTTTATTGGCTGCTGCAGAATTGGGTGAATCGCCTGATGAAGGAGATGCAGTAGGAAGTGCAGCAGTTAACTGTGACTCACTGCCACTGAGGAGCTCAATTCCACGTTTATGCTTCTCGTATTTCTCTTTCACTACTCTGTCAGCCTCCATGGCATTCAATATCAGATGTCTACAGAAAGATATGTCTTTTAAGAGACCTAAAGGATGTAAGGAAAATCTCAACCCACAAGGTACTTGTACAGACCTGTATTTGGCTGCATTGCCTTTGAAAGAAGCTGTGAGGGTATCAGATGGTGTACGTTGCCAGCGCTCTTTGAATTGGTTGCGGAGCTGTGTGTCTGACTCGGTCTCTTCCTTCAGCATCCGTTCTGCCTGGATAGGAAACACATTCATGGATCTTTGTTCCATTTATACAGGGCATCATTGTGAACAATTGCTATAAGCCTACTTCATCCAAAATTTCCTTGTTTCTCTGCAGCAGGCCTGGTAGTTCAGAGATGAGTTGATTCAACAAAGAAATGCCTCCCCTGTCTCGGACAGCTTGAGCTTTCTCTCGGAGCGATGATGGCAGATCTCGACCTGACGTGTCCTCCAGGGCAGCTGGCAGGTTCAGTGAAGCCAAGACACTGCATGGAAGAGGTTCCATCATCTAGCATATATACTCCAGCTTAAAATGGATTTCTGTGGAGTTTCCCATACCCGTTGAGGGCCTGCGTGGCCTCCCGCAACTTCCCGACTTCGGCATTGACGATCTCATTCTTTCTCAAGTCATAAGCCACCATTGCTTGATGGACACTGACAGGGAGCAGGTCTGAGAACAAGTCTGAAATGGATTGCATCACTTAGTTGAGCTTTGAAGGCATGATAAGGTTGCTCTCATTCAGCCTACTTGAAATTTGCAAATCTTACCCTGGAAACTGGAACTCCAGTGGGGCAGCATGGGGGAAGGTTTGGCAACCTGAGCCTTTTCAAGTGGTGGAAGATTTTTTACATCTGGAACCCTCTCATGATAAATAAAATCATTGTCCTTCTTGGCTTCCTGGAGAGATCGCTCAGCACGGGTCAGTTCAGTCTGGTAAAAGCCTGGAATCCCTGATCTTGTCTGAGCTGCCTTAAACAGTTCAACTGATTTCTGCAGCCAAGCAATCTGCTCTCCAATGTGCTTCATTGAACCAGCTACAACAGATTGGTGGAACATAGCAAGGCCGTGAAAGGCACTCTGTTTGCCAGCTACAGTGGGCACCCATTCTCTCTCCCAGAGAGAGCGGAGGGATTCTCGTTGCATCTGCTTCAAGGCATCTGCATACAGATCCTCACACTGGGTAGCCAGCTTGGAAATAATTGCATCCTTCATCCTATCTGCAAAGAGAAGTTATTAAATTCATAATAGTCAGAATCAGAGTTTTATGAGACCAGGTCTTCATAAAGTGCTTTTCCTCACCATGAATTGCTTTCTGGACAAAAAGCTCCTGTGCCTGGGCCAGCATAAGAGCAGATAATGCCCCAAGAGCATCTGGGTTCAGATCAGGAGTTGGCTCTTGCTGAATTGCCCCTATCACATTCCCTTTTAAATGCCCCAAAATCCCTGCTGATTGCTGAAAGGGAAATTCAATTATTTTGCTGAAAATATATTTCTGATCTAATAAAGACAAATGGTGCATTGTTCCACCTGCAGAAGTTTGGCAGCAGATTTCAAGCCCACATCTTGCTCCAAGTTCTGTGTATAAGCAACCTGGCTTTGCAATGCAGCCATATTGAAAAGAACACAAACTTTCTCATATGCCAAGGAGGATACAGCTGGAAAGGAAAATCACATTCAGATTATTTCAAGTTGGGTCAAATAATGAATGAAAGGTACAAAAGACTAATGACTATTTTACTTAGTCTCAAAACCTTGGTTTTGTAAATCTAGGTTTGGGCACATAAAATAATGGGCTACCCTGTGGTAGCCCATTTTTGGAAACTATTATAAGCTCTGCCAACCATGTTTAATAAAAAGTTACTGTTTAATTCCAGGGCTGCCCTCAAGTTATCCTTAGCTCAATGATTTATACTTTTGAAATAAATTCTGGATGTCAGGGTATTTAAAAAGAGCACTAGTGGGGGTTAACAGTTGAGTGTTGTATAGTAGAGCATGGGTTGCCATAGATATAGCTCAGGCACATAAAATTCGCACTAACCCACAGCACATACTATATGTAGTTTAGTGAATGTAAAGAAAAGAGCCTGACTAGTGAAAATTAGACAGTAATAAAAAATTAAACATAGAATCATCCAATATCCCTCACCACCCTTCATGCAGGTTTCCATCTCCTACCTTCCCTTGTGCGAGTTTGCATTGTCTATCATAATACCCTTGACATGCCTTTGTGTAGGTCTATTAGAGCAGGAACTTGGTTTTCAGTCATTAGGACAGGACAAAGGAAATCTTTCTCAGCTGATGATTGGGAAAGATTTTTTTAAGGGGTGACACCTAGTAATTAATAATGTATATGCACTTAGCATAATACCTACCAAAGGCCATAAGTTGAAATTTTGTAAGAATAGGCTTACAATATACAGGGTTAGTATGAAGTTTCTTCCCATGTTCAGCCAGTTATAATATGCAAACTATGCACTGTATGCTGTAATATTTGGCATGAACACTAATGGGACTACAGGGAAGATGAATATAAGGTTATCAGATATGGCCACCAGCATTTGCTCAATAGTTACATTTGCTCAAAGTGACCTCCATTCGTGTCTACAATTGCTTGCATTTGGGATATACAGCGATAGATGGCTGATCAAAGCTGTCCAACACCTAACATGGCCACAAGATGGTGAAAGCATGTTCAAGGTCCATTAAGGTGCTGCATGACAAAATAGACCTTGAGATATTATATCTATATTCCTATGTTCCTCTTCCCCATGGTCCCATTAGTGTTCACACCAAATATTGAATATTTACAATGAATATTTTGCTCATTACGACTGTCTGAACATTGGAAGAAACTAAATAGGCTTTTATATGCCTTTTTTGTTAGGCTTGGACAACAAGGACATAAACAAATACCAAATGCGACAAGGCATAAAGTATACAAGATTTGCATTGGTATGAGGTGAACGTACTTAGGCTGATTTTCCCTCCAAAGAATGAACCTCGATCGAATGCATCCTTCCACTTAAATGGGATTTGAACTTCAGCTGGTGGGATCTTCTCCTCCAATGCTGCCAGCTGGTCGTAGTACCTTTAAGCATAGAAACATCTTAAAGTGAATTCACTGCCACCTTGGTTTCAAATCTTAGGCCTAAGATCAGAGTTGGGGGATGAAACGGCCTAGCCGAGGCCTAACGTCACTCACTTGTATAAGGCTTCCAAGGAACTTTCATGTTTGTCCAATGTCTTCCAGACGGCATTATTCCGGAGTTTGTTGAAATCCTGGATAGCTTCAGTGTATTTTAGGGATTCCTGGTTATCGGCAGTGCTGAAAATAGATGCGATGATATTCCTCAGCGGTTTCACCAAATCCAAATCTGAAGTCTTTTTCAGCGGGATACAGAGCAACTCCGCCATCGTGAACACGTGGTTGCACTTTGAAACAGGAATTGTTTCACCTATGTCTCTTGAACAGTTGATAACCAGCGTTAAAAAACTTCACTGATATATTGCTTTAACCCATTCCAGACGGTAGCCAAACCATCAGGGTCTTCCTATCAATAATTTTCCGATATTTAAAGGCAAAATAGCGACAAAGACAGACAGTTTCTTCGAACAGATCTCTGAAAAATCTGGCAACACTGGTTGCACTAAGCAGGACGTCATCCGTGAGTCAGTATTAATGCTGGCCTTCATCGTGGCGTGAATCTGAGTCTTATATGATCCTGCTTCACTCAGACGTCATCACCGTTCTCTGACTTTAACATCACTCTCTGGCTGGGCAGGATTTAATTTAAATGCAGCTTTCTGATGGCTTCGTCTTTCGCGCCATTACCCCGCATGCCGGTGACGTCACTGCTCAGTTGCTTCAGCGGACAATTCACGAAATAGGATCATTCCTAGGTTTTGTTGTAGTCTCTATAGATGGTTTCTGTGAATGCTTTGGCTGTTCTGTCGTTTTGTCGGATTTTTCCCTGCGATCCAATAACATCTGCGGTCGCATCTTGGGCTTGCCGCGTGAAACATTATGCATGTAGGAAGCCTTCCTCCTGGACGGAAATTCAAAGAAAAGATAGTGGACATGTCCGGGAAAAACCGGACGTATGGTAACCCTATGCATGAATGATAAGAACGTAAGCGGTATAAAATGAATGCCATCGTTTTGGGTATAAAATGACTGGACGGAAATTCAAAGAAAAGATAGTGGACATGTCCGGGAAAAACCGGACGTATGGTAACCCTATGCATGAATGATAAGAACGTAAGCGGTATAAAATGAATGCCATCGTTTTGGGAATAAAATGTCTGTAAGGACTAGATGTGGCCTGATATCAGATGTTCCGGTTTCACAATAGAGAGAGGGAAAAAAAAAGAAGAAGAATGGAATAGATTCTTTCCCTCTAATTTGGGAATGTGACCACTTTTGGTCGTGTTCCATGTGGGATCCTTGCCTCCTGTTTGCTGAAAGACAAAGTCGATCTCTCAGAGGGATAAAATATATATACTGCAAATGGGGCGACTCGATTTCTTGGGTGACTGTCGCTTGACAGATTCCTGAAGGGAAGCGAGCAGTTGCGACCAGGATGTTTCTTGCAGAAATAGACTTCAAGGAATCGGTCGAAGTCACGGATCAATTGTCTGAGCTCCCCTTTCTTTCCCGAGAAGCCCTTTTTCTAAATAAATCCATCCGGCTTCGGCTTCCTTCGTTCGACACTGACCCTGGCGAACAGTGAGATTTCCCCACTTGACCGGTAGAAAAACGACCCGAGAAGCAGCAGAGGACAAGAACTTCACTCTGCTGCCACTAGATGTCTTTCGTTGAGGTATAAGAGCAAGACATATTCACGCCTGACAGAGAGAGAGAAATGGACGCCAGAGATGATGTTCATACCCACCTCCACCCGAGGCCTCCCTTTTCAAATCCAACTGCCCACACTCTTAGAAAAGAGTGAACGATTTCCGAGAAAGGGAGCGAAACTGGAATTAGCGATTTTGCTCTCTAAAAACAAGGAAGTACAATCGATAACTTCTATAAGCAGATATAAGCAGAATCCATACCTTTTTTAAGAGCGCGAAACGAAGGAGAGAGAGAGAGAGTACTTTTCGAACTAGTAGAAAGTGTATAGTTATTCTCAGGAAAGAGAGAAGTGAGCGGCATTACTTCCTTCTTTTTAAGGAGTAAAAGTGCTAACTCCAGTTTCGCTTCCTTTCTTGGAAATCGCTCACTCTTTTCTAAGAGTGCAGGCAACTTCTTATAGTGTATGGGTGTAGTCAACTTCTTATGCATATTAGTATGCCGTGCTCTTTCCGTAAGTTCATTATTCAGGGAAGCGCCTGTCTTCCTGTTCTACCCGTAATAGGTGACCTGAGACACCGGCGATCGATATGTTTCTTACGACTGGAAGTAAGTTGCGAATATTTGCGCCTCGAATATATAACTTAGAACTTGGATGAAAGTAATTGTGCTCATCTTCTGTCGCATCAAAGGTAAACAGGACCTCTATGCCTCTATGATCGCAGTCTCTCACAGACTGACCCTCTTGCAATTCCCTAGTTCGGGCACAACGTCGCAACAACGTAAAGAATGTGAAGAGACAGATCAGGTGAGTCAGTCCCACCGTATTGATCTTTCGAGAGCGGGCAGAGGCCGGCCTGTCCATCAGATCATCCCCTGCACCCCTGAGATCATCCTTTCTTTAAACGGATTCGGTGCATGTCACCCAATATTTACCTTAAACTGTTCCTGTTGTTTATATTCTAAACTGTTTACTATTTATATAGTTTAGGGAATGTTTGCAAGAGTATATAAAAATCTCTCAAGTATAAATACTATCAGAAGATGAGAACAGATGGGAGCAAAGGAGATAATGGTGTCGTGCTTTTGAGACACCCTGCTGAAGCAGGGTGTCTCAAAAGTCACACCGTACTTCATTGTTGAATAGCTTCTGAACAAATATGAACAAAGGGAACAGGCAAGTGTGATCAAGAAGGAGCATTTAATATATTTTTGGCATAAGAAAGGTTGGCCCCAAACTAAGCAACAAACACGGCCCGATTGGATTCTCGCATTCCCTGATTATGACAAGAATGTGGTCCGTTTCCCATCAATGTGGTGTGGTGTATCCGAATGTAGACGGCATATTTTTTTATGAAAACCCATGCAATGGAATGTGCCGCATAAACTCTCTACATTTCCCTTATTCGATTGTGATTGTCCATGTTCACATCGCTAATATCGCAAGCTCGAAAAACCGGGATTAGAACTCGTGATTATCCTCGCCTTTCCGCAAGAAATCTCTGCGATCTGCGCCATCATTTGCCTAATGCATTTGGAACACCCTTTCCTTGGAGATCATCTGCCAATGTCTATTCATGACGACGATTCTTCAACAGAGGACAGAACAAGCGTGCGAAAGGACAGTTGTGAAAAAAAAACAATGGGAAAACCAAAGAGAACGTGATGCTGACCCAGCCATGCAAAAAATATGTACGCTGATTCGCCATCCCTTTGACCTCATATCTCCTTCAACTCCTGTAGAACAATGAGTATTTCCCAAAACGGTTCTTCAACATCCTGATGAAACGAAGTCCTTGCTAATTATCTTCCCTCAGACGAGACGGACAAGCGCAGGAGTCTTCTGGATGCATGCCCCGAACACGCATGCTTCAAGGCCGTCTCTCGCGCCGTCCTTGAGAATCCCGCCCAGTGCCTCCGAGACGAGGAAATTCCAGCAAGGAAAGAAGGCAAGACCTGCAAGCATGACGTTGCCGTATGAGTTCTTTCCAAACTATTTTATTCGGCTTTAATTTTATTTAAAAGATGTTCTTAGCATTCTCACAACCTTCAAATTCGGGTCTTGCTGTTGTATCCGTTTACAACAGAAAATTTCTATTATTTTTCATTTAAAACTAAAATGCCCTCGACTATTTTTTCCTGACTCATCCATCCAAGAATATTGCAGTGCCAGAAGTAATGAAAAGAAAGTTCCACGTTCCGTCGCTTTCAATGCAACAACGGGTCTTGCATCCGTGCATGGCTCCCGTAAGAGTCCTGTTTTAAAAACATTTATTCGACACGGACGACGCAGATTTGATCCAAAGACCATCTCATTTGCATATGCAATTTTTGTTCGCCCTTTATGTGTTCTTTCATCCATAGTAGAACTGAACAACGCACTTTCCCCGCTGCTTTCATCGGCTCTTGGAATATGCCGTCAATGACAAGAAAGAGCCTTTCCATTGAGAGACATGGCAAAAACTTTCATAAATTCGTCTGATCAAAATTTTCCAATTATTATTATTTCTCTAAATAGCCACTTCTTGTAGGTACACCTTCATTGTTTCCCCCCCATTATTTGTTGAATATTTTTTCTGTCGAGTTTTGCATTTTATTTCCACAAGATCGCCTTTACGAAGCATGAAATCATGAACATCATGTTCTGGCATTTTAATTTCGTTTAAATGAAACCATGACAAAAGAGAAAAAATTACGAGACCGAATATTGCAAGGCAGGTATAAAAAAGTGCATTACACATTTATTATTGTAGTTACTGTATTAGCGTTTTTTGTTTTTGTTTTACATATTGAGTAGAGTACAATACCGGAGGACCCAGGGAACCTGTTTCATCAATCCATTGTCCCGAAACCGTTCCTGGGTTCAGCCACGGTAAGGCATACACCCCAACTTTTTTTTTAACCCGGAAAAGAATCAGGAAACACCCTAGCTGGAACAAGGATCGAGAAGTCCTTGAGAAGACATAGGGGTTCCGGTCGATTCATTGTCCAACCTCTCCGGGCTGTATACCATGAGACCTTAAAAACTCCAAGACTACAGAAAAAAGGCTGAACAAGGTCATTCAATGGCGCAATAAGACCGGAATTTTGGAGGTCCCCTGTCCCTCCCTCGTTCCCTCCCTCCCCACCCGTACGAAAAAAAAATCTATAAGAATCCAATAAGAAGTTTTAAATATAAAAGCTAATAGGATTCCTACAGAACTTTGTCGTGAGGACATCCTCCCCCCTCCTGCCTCTCATCCCTCCCTCAGTCTCCTTCTTCCCTCTCCTTCTCCTTGACCTTTCTTCAGCTTTTCCCTCTTTGGGCGTCCACAGTCATACACCGGAAACTTTCTCTGCCACATCTCGGGCAACACGTTGGATTTAATTTTTTTTTTTACTTTATACATACTTCTATGACGCAGGAAAGCAGCAAGGTACCTCGTATGCGGTCCAGCTTCCATAGTCTGCTGCATAAAGCATGGACCTACCCGAAGAAGTAAAGTAGAATTTCCTCGAAATATAGTCTCCGCACACGTCTGATGAGCCTTTCGCACCATAGAACACAGAGAATGACCAAGGTTGTCAGAATAAATGCTGCATGAACTCCTATAGATAAAAAAAATAACGCACAACGAGCGTTTTCGCGATGAACACTTCT